AGACATTCGGTGAATTTTTGTCGGTGAAATGTTATGTCTACGAAACTAGCGTCGGTGAAGTGATACGTATCCAAATAAATTTGACTAATAAATTTGCTAATATAACAATGGATTCAACCATTCAAAATTTTCTAGTTGCAAGAATCATATTATCTTTTTCAAACTGGGGAAGAATAAATTTTTATAACATATTCTGAGCATAAAATTTCTTTAAAAAGATTTTTAAGGGCACTTGAACTCTGGGATTTTATAAAACTTGAGGCATCAACTACATAGGTATTCTTGCTATAAGTTAATTGATAATTAGTCTTTGTCTTTTTTAATAAGTGAAACAAACAAAAGAATAAATAGAAAAAAAAAACCCCCCGGTGATGCTTATTTTTTAACCCACCTAGTATCACCACCAAAATCATGTACATAGTTCTTCTTAAATTTCAATTTGAGTTTAACATAAAAATAGCAGAATTACGAGGTTTATATAATAAGATTTTTGAAAAAATAATTGTTTTTTTTTATTCAATTTTTATTCAACTTATTTTATTCAACTTATTTTATTCAAATTATTTATTCAAATTATTTATTCAAATTATTTATTTAAACTATTTATTCAAATTGTTCATTCAAGAATTTATTTAATTTATGACTATAAATTTAAACAGTCATTCAAATTTGAATATTTAAAATGTATTACATTTAAATTGTATTACATCTAAATTTAAAATTTTTTAATACACGTATAAAGCTTTAAGCCTTAATTAATACTACCAGTAAAAAGTGTTCTTATTACATCTATTTTAAGTTTTCAGAAGCTTTTTTGCTTGCTCAATTCAATCCTTCTAAGCCATTTATTTTGTTTTGGAAGATTATTAGACTTTTCAAGAACAATTGAGTACTTAAAACATAATATTTAGTAAAATACAATATACATCAGTGAGACTTACAGAAATTTCTGAAAATACAAATAACACCTAAATATTCCTATAATGTTCAATTCATGGCTCTCTATCACTGTTAAGAACTTTTATCATTTTTTCAATTCTCTTTCAAGCTCACAGTAACAGTTGCACAAATAGATAAATAAAACGGATTTGATTTGTTTATTACAATACTTTTATAAGAACTTTACAATCTTAAGTGTTACTGTACTTTCCAAAAAGTTCATTGATAATATATTTTTTAATTTGTTACTTATTTAAGAAATATCCACATCTATCTCAAGATCCATATGTGTAATTCTTTCTCTATTAATATCTGTAAGTTTTTCATACACCATATGTTCAAGCTCTTCAGATTTTATAACGTTTTCTTTTTTCTTGCAAATATTGTCTAAAGTTTGGTCTTTACGCTTCTCTTTTCTGCTTTCATTTAGGAGGGTAAATACTTAAACTTTTTTTTGATTATTTTGAAATGCAAAATGGGTTTTATAATTTGACAGAATGAACAACAATGTATAATATGCTTATTTTCTATTTTAGCAAATTACAGTAAAATCAAAGAAATAAAAATTTAGATTTTATTTTTATTATTATACGCATTATTAATCAAATATTATTATTATCATTATTGGCATCATATTTCAATATTATTAAAATAGCGATAAATAAATTTAAGCTCTGTATCACATATATGATTTTGGTGGTAATACTAGGTAGGTCCTTATTTTTTCATTTATTTATTTATTTATTTATTTTTTTTCTTTCCTACTTATTAATTAGGAAAAAAAACAATATAGAAACAAATTAGGCTTAGCATTTTGTTAGACTCAAGCCAAAATCATGACAACATTTTATTTATTTTTTGCTCACAAAACACATTATTTGTTTTTTTTTTATCTAGCACAAAAAAAATCTTATTTATTATTACAAAAAAAATAAAAAAAAAGATAATTCTTGACTCAGTAATGAGCTATTATGATAAATAACACATTAACTACGCCATGTATACAAAGTCTGTGTCGGTACAAATTTTCTTTAATGTAATGCTTTACATCATGCTACAGAATCAGAATTATCAACCCTTTGTTACAACTTTCATTTTGATCTTTGATGATCACTAATTATTAATCAATCTAACCGGCAAAAAATATGAATTAAAAAACAAAAAAAAAGGCAGAAATACGAAAATATATATATAAACACAAATAAGAAATTATAATAATGATAAATACACCACAACTACACATCTCAGCATATAATGAATCAACCTTTCGGCACTACTAGCCAGTAGCTAGAAACTGGAAACAACAATTAATATGAAATGATACTATATAATATAAAAATAACAGATGCTAAAATTTCTTTTATAAATTAAAAGGAAGTCTAGATCACAGATCTTATGTATGAACATAATACAAAATATGAGAAACAGTAAAAAAAGCACAAATAAACAACCAACCAAATAGGCAAAATTAAGTAAAAACCAAGTAAAAAATATATATAAAATTGAAGATGTTTAATAAAATCAATAAAATTTTATAATTATATTTAATCTCCTAATAACAAATTATAAGAAGTGGGTTGTTCAATATTATCTTGAAAAATTTGTTATAAAGGCCATTTAGCATTTTGACTAGTAGTGAGATAAACTATATCATCTAAATTATCAAGATTTAAATCCTCCTCAAGCTGTTCATCTCTTAAAAGTACTACCCAATTTTCAATAATTTCTTCCCATTAATTATTATTATTATTATTATTACTTATCTAATTATACTCAAAATCAGATTCTTGAGATAAATCATTTTCTTCTGAATCAGAAGTTATAGATAGCATAATATTTGGATTGTGAATTTGGTTTGTTGATTTTTCAATAGCTTTTAATTTGCATTCTTGCATTATTTTGCCTCACAATTGACTTATTTCACAAACTTTTTTATACTAAAAATAATATTAATTTTAAATTATTATAAAAAATAATTAAATAAAAGCATTTACAATTACAAAAATCGTAAACTTAATGGTACCAAATAACTTTAAACTTGTAAAATATATTATCTAATATAGTTGCTAAGAAATTTTTGGAGTTTTATAAAAAGATCTATTTTAAATTATATAAATACTACTAAAAAATAACTACAAATTAGGCTTTTAGTTATAATTTGTACTAGACATAGTTCCTAAATTAAATAGATTGCATCCAGTATAAAATATAATTAAAATTTGAATTTGTAGTTTTTTTCTTAGTAGTACTTAAATAAATAAGATAAAGTATAATTTTAATTAATTAAAAAATATATAATTCAATATATTTTTTATTTTAAAATTATAAGTGCTGTTAAAACAAAGTTTGTCATTAAACTTTTAGTTATAAATAGTATCAGTAAGGCTATAATATTTAAGATTCAAGTTAAACTTAAGTTAACATACCCCAAGTCTATTTCTGCACTTGTTATGTAAAAATCCCATAGTTGCAAATAATCTTTCAATAGAGGCACTATTAATACAAATTACAAATAAACAAAGTGCCAGATTTGCAAGTTTTTTATGGGTTCTACATTCAATAAAAGTCTAATATTTAATTATATTACCCTTAAATTGATCAAATGGTATTGTATCAAAGGGTGAATTATTTGCCAAAAGCTTTGAGTTCTAATAAAATAACTTCAGGCCTATTATCAAACCAATTTTTATAGTAATAAACTACCCATTTGCCTAATATTGGTATTGATAAACTGTTTAAGCGAAGGTTAAGCTTCTTTAAACTATATGTAGGATGAAGTAACCAAGATAATATAAGGAGAGGCTGTTCCTATTGATTCCACCTTTCTCTAAACATGACAACATATGTAAACGAATGGTAAATCAGGTTTTCTTTGAATAGTGCTTACTATCCATGCATATACATACATATACATGTTAGCAAAATTCTAATCTATTATAGTTTGGGATTGGGTGTCCCAAATCCCAAACTCTGGCCAAACTCATATCTCAAAAACTTTATTAATAATCTTTATTTAAAACTTCATATATATATTTATAGAATACAAAATATAAATATTTGATCAACTCTTTCTGCTGATCATCAAAACACAATTTTTCAAAACACAA